GGCGCGCGTCCCAGGTCCCTACCAGGTGCCCGTAGACGTCGGCGGGCTGGAGGTAGAAGGTGGAGTTGAGCAGCTCTTCTAGCCGGCGCGGAACGTCGTTCTCCCGGTAGTACTTCATCGCCTTCTGCTTCAGCTTCTGCAGCTCCCTAGGGGTCCCACAGCTGCGCTGACTGCCTTCTTCTCCCATGGTAGGAGATTTAAGGCTACCGCGGGCGTTAGCTAGGGGGGCCCGCGAGCGTCCTCCCCGTCACTAGGCAACGCAACGAGATCCCGACCCCAGATCTCGCGAGCCTTCCGGCCCTGGGTTCCTCGGCGGCGGGCGCAGCGCGGGGCTCCGCGGTGTTCCAGCCTCCCGAGTTCGCGGCCCGGTGTTCGCTTGCGCACCCCCTAGACCGGCGCTCCCCCGCCGTGGTTTGCAGCACTTTCCCCCGCGATTCTCCAGATGGGGAGATCGTTAACGATCTCACGAAGGGCCCTCGGCGCTTACCGGCCTCCGGTGGACTCGGGCTCAGGTGCTGCCCTGGGGTCCCCGTAGCCAGGGCCCAGGCCAGTGGGGTCCCCACCCGCCCCTTGTTCCTGGCCGTCAGCGCGCAGCTCTGGCGGCGGTGGCGGCCGGTGCCGGGCTGCCCACGCTCCTGGGGAGGGGGTCAAGAATTCAGGGTGTCTGTCCGGAATAAGCTGTGGAGTGTGGCCCACGGAGCCAGCGGCTTGCGGGCTGGGAGAGCAAGTCCAGGGGAGAAAGGCCTGTGCGCGCCCCCAGGGACACAAGTGGGCGGAAAGCAGTGGGAGGCAAGAACTGTGGGCCGGAGAAAGTTGGGGGTGCACTTGAGGCTGACGATTAGAGGTGATAACCAGCAGGACTTGGCAGGACTTGAGCGGGCAAGGCAAGCGGTCACGGTTTCGCGGCTGAAAGCTGCAGAAGCCAGCTGTGCGCTGCTCTTAAATCCAAACCGCTGGCGTGGCCGCTGTACCTGCCTTACCCCTGCCCGGTGTCACTTGCAGTTTCGTGAGTGCTGAATGTGGGCTCTGCTCTAGAAGCTTCTGCTGCAGGAACAGACGTGGAAGGGTGTGCTTGTCCTCGTGCCTGCTTGTGTTTCCGACTGAAGCAGGTGATCTAATAGATCAAAAAAGCATCGCACCTCATTCCTCATTCTGCTCTTCTGGAAATCAGTCTTAATCTGCTCGGCTCCGGCTTCACCAGTCATGTAGCATAAAGGGAGAAAGTGCTTTGGAACAAGGTAGTTATTTATAGGTGCCCAAGGATATAAAAGCCGCAATTCTATAAACAGCCTTACATGAACCAGGACAAGCACCTCCTTCTGCACCTCCTCCCTCTGAATCACTTTCTGGGGAATTGTCGGTCATCCAGGACGTGCCTGGTCCTCCCTGCTAGATGGAAATCCCTCCACAGCCGAGTGGAGTCTGAGTCACCTTCACATCCACCGCAGAGCCAGCCCACAGGGACAGAGCATGCGCTCTGCCGAGTAGGTGCTGCGTGAACCTTCCACAAAATAAGCTGGTGCAATCCCTGCTGCAGTTCCCTTCCCGCTCTGTACCTTTGCTCCCAGCCCTGTGGAGGGCACCCCCTTTGCTCCCAAGTCCTTCAGGCTCAGGTCTTCTGAGAAACCATACTCCACAGCTCTCTTTACTCAACCCCCTTCTGAGTGTGTTCCCCACTTGTCTGAGTCACAAGTCTTGACTCACTTGATTTTTTTTTTAATATTTATTTATTTATGTATACAGAACTGGGGAGCAGGCCAGAGGTGCAGGGGCAGTGAGAGGCTTCACCAGAGACAGGGTTGCAGAACAGGCAGATCGACAAGGTACACTGCTGAGGGGAACAGCAGGAGAGACAGGAGAGGTCTGCCATGCCATGTGGATCACCTCTGGGGCGGGGATCAAACTCACTGAAGTGGCTGTGGCTAGCTTGCAGTGCTGCACTTTAACCTATTGTTCCACCAGGGAGGGCCTCATTTGTTGTTTTGTTTTGTTTTTTTAAGATTTATTTATTTGTGCATACAGAATTGGGGTACAGGCCAGAGGTGCAGGTGAGAGGATTCACCAAAGATAGAGTGGGGAGCAGAACAGGCAGATGGTCGAGTACACCGATGAGGGGAGCAGCAGGCGGGTCAGGAGAGGTCTGCCATGCCATGTGGAATCACCTCTAGAGCAGGCAGGGATCAAACTCATGAAGAAGTGGCTTTTGCTTTTTAGTGCTGTACTTTAGCCCGCTGAGCCACCAAGGAGGGCCCTAAACTTGATGTTTTTAATGGAGGAGTGGAAGCATCATGGGCTGGTACTGTCAAGTCCTGTCCTATGTAACCCATTGTCTTCTGTGTTCCATGAGGACAGGGACTTGGTCTGCTTGCTCCCCAGCATCAGTCCTTTACCTGATAGAATGGATTAGCAAACATTTGTTGAGTAAATGAATGGATTTTACACAGAGTAAGTGTTTATAATCAATGCTCTGAGTTGGGTGAATGAGTACCCCGGGATGGCTGGAGTAAAGTATCTGCTTTAAGGAATAATGAAAGATAAGGATGGAAAAATAGTTAAGATGAAATGATGACAGGACTACAATATCATTCTCTAAGAGTGGGAAGCAGCCCAAACTTCCGAGGATAGGTTAGTCAAAATGGAAGAAGCATTTTAGCACATGGCTATGCAGAAAGCAGGAGATCCGGGTGGGAGCAATACAGACGTGAGCACCTTCACGAGCTTGGTGATGGTGGGAAGAGGAGGACGAGAGACCTCACGGAAGGAAGGAGGGAAGTCACTTTGAGTGATTGGATGTGGAGCTGGGGACCTGTGGTGCTCGATGAGAATGACTTGTAGATTTCTGTCACAGCGGACAAAAATGAGCTAAATGACCGAGGCATCTGGTGTTGACAGGACACCATGAATTTAGTGTTAGCCATGCGGAGGCAAGTCCTGGTGTCCCCGAGAAAAGGGACATGGAAGTGAATGTTGAAGAGCCTGGGAGACCTCTGGAGGGAATACGGCAAAAATCTTTTTGAATGAGGACCTCAATATTGGGGGAGGAATCTATTTAGGACATAGGAGAAGGGGGAAGCACTGTCAAAGATACAGAGGGCTGAGGAAAAAGAGAAACTCCAAGTCACAGTGTCTAGGGCAAAGCATTCTGGGAGTGCAGCGTGTGCCTTTGTGTGTGTAGATATGCACACAGTTGAGGCCACAAGGATTCGTCCACATGCTGGTGGTGGTGTTTTTGGGTCCTGGAATCATGGACTTTTCTTCCTGCATAGTGGTAGTTTCTGATTTTCCTGAAAGGAATATATCACCTGTATACCCTTAATGAATGACAGTAAAGATATTTGAGGGAAGGATGTCGTTTCAAATGTTACAGGAGAATGGAAGACAAAACAAAGATTTTAGGAAATCAATAGTTCTCTTAAATCAAAATAAAAACTGTATAAACTAAAGAAAGGCATAAACCCATTATCCCTGCTTCCTTCTGGCTCTGGCTCAATGAGCAGATATTTAATGAATACCTACCATGTTCCAGACACTGTGCTAGGCACTGGGGGGAAGCAATAAGGTAGATAATTTCTTATCCCCGTGGCACTCAAGTTTTAGTGGTGTTCCAGTGACACTTACATCCTAGTAATGCAACACTGAGGACAGTAAACTGAAGTATTAGACTGGAAAATCTTTTGAAAAGTTGTTATCCTAGGGATTTATCAAAAGCCCATTAGTCTCGATAGATTCAGAGTAAATAAAATGGTTATTCCTGCATATTCCAATTTTCTTCTTCTCCAACTAGAAGTACTGGAATTTTAGCTATAAAATACAGTCATGCATATGAATATTTTGTAATACTTAACATATCCCCTGTTTTAGTCCGTTGGTGACTGTTTTTCCAGTTCATCTTGAGACTAGATACCCCAGGGCACTTACAGAGTGAAAGAGCCTAAAAGGGACGGAGTATGCTGGGAATCTGAGTGTATGAGACTGGGGAGCTGAAGCAGGGAGAGGGAAGAAGGGAAGGGAAATGAAGAGGATAGTCAGGTGGTGCAGAAAGTGTCTGGGAAAGCCCCAGGGAGAGGACAGGACTGCACTCTCCTCCTTGAGAAAGAGAAGAGAATAGACATGACAGCCATGACTGTTACCTGCCCGTGGGCACAGTGCCTGCATCCAAAGGGATTTATGGTGGGACAAGGACCTTTTGTATGGGAATTTGAAAACCTAGATGCGAGTCCCATCTGTTCCCAAGATCTTCCAAGACCTCATCAACAAATGTTTATGTTGGACTAGTGCTGCTTAACCTTCTAATATGAAGACGTCTTATTAACAGCAGGAGTAAACCTCCTGATCCCTGCCATGTGATAGCTGCATCTATAGGGCCACTGAATTCAGCTGCATATACATCTAGAGCATTTGTGTTCATGGGATTTATGTACCTAAGACAAAGAATGTATTTATAGCCACGCCATTCATAGGGGTGTGCGTGAGAGACAGTGAGCTCCTTGGAGACCTCAGGTGAGACCAGCGAGTGGGTCTCTCCCTCTCAGCTTTCTTCTCCTTTGTTGCTCTGATTCCAGAGAAAGTATCAAGACATATTGGTTGATTCCTACTTGCCAGTGGAAGACCTTTCAGAGAGGAAATTAACTATTCATCAGTGCGCATTAAAAAAAAAAACAAAACTAAGCTATGTCAGGCATTTCCTAAATGAAGGAAGAAAAAGGAACATGTATTTGTTCACCTTTTCCTTCATCCTGTCTAACACCTTTATATAATTGGAGCTTGTTTGCCTGACATTGGTATTTAGAAATGATTATTTAGTTGCTATTTTTGGGTTATTGTCAAGAGCTTGCTAATTCTTCATCCTGCCCTTGCATCTGTGTTGAATATCATTTTTCATAGGGAATTAATGAACTTGATCGTGGTGCCTTTCGTCAGAGTCTCAACGGGAGGGAAGAGTGCAAGGGACTCTGGTGATGGTGCATGGGTGAGGTGGTGGTGGTGATTTTACATGACTACACCTGAGAGGAGAAAGCAAAATTGTACAAAAATTCAGAATGATATAATATATATATATATATATACAATAATTAAAACAAAACTACCGCTTCTGTTGGTGCAGTGCTTGTATATGCCTCAGGCTTCCTTATACCACCCATTAAATCTGCCCAACCGCAGAAGGTAAGTGAGGGACACAGTCAATAGA